CGAATATTCAGCAACATTTCGCATATTCAACAGCATAATAAATGTGCGCACTCCATTTTAAACGAAAAACAAGACTTTAGAATGGAAGAAAAGATTCTGAAATTCAGAATGTATTTTGCATGAAACCAATGGCCTGAATAAAGATTCTGAATGATGGAACAAAGATAATAAATGAATGCTAAAAGCTTCTGAATGAACGTCTATTCAGATTTCCCCAATAGTCAACACCTTTTTCTTTACCTACAACGATGGTAGCATGAAATAACTGGTTTATGTTATTAGGAACCTTAGAAAACATAAGTCAAAGTTTTTAATAAGTCAAAAATTGATTCAAAAATTATGTGTTTGTTGGACTCGGTCTTTAATTTTTGTTTTACGACACCTCACCACATGAGACTTTAATTAATATATGTAAACAGTGATTTCAATATACCATGAAATAATCACAGATTCAGTCCTTTTTGTTGTGGAGATAGAAATCAGCGCTTGAATGAATTTTTTTTAATACTTATTTTTTCCAGGTAATATTTCATTCTTTTAATAGAACAGCATTATTTCATAACCAGACCATTTTCATTGTTAGAAATTCTGTAATATGGAGCAATACTAAACATTTTATGAATTGTGTGATCTTCAAAGCTTTTAATCATTTTTTGGATGACTTTAAAAGCATGGGCTCCGAGTTTAACAAATTTGCCTAGAAAAAGAAAAAGAAACTTGACCTAAATAATAGATAAGGTTCCGCTCTTTTTACTATAATGTTTCAATATGTGAATGTTTCATAATGTTTTTATTACATATATTTGATTATATCTGTGAAATATTAACCTATACCATGCTCTCATTACGATGATGTAAACTGAGCTTCTCGATCCCAGTTTTTTATGTTATTTTTTTGGCGGGGTTTTTTCACTCTTTAATTCATTGTCCATTAGTTATTTAAATTGAGGTTTTTATGAATCAATCAGATAGATTATGAAGCCAATTAACGCAAATATGTTGATCAGGAAAAATCAGCTCTTTATTACATTAATTGGATCTCTTTAAAGTCACAGGCTCCATTACTTAAAAAATACCGTTAAATAAGGAGTACAAAGATTTCGCATGGATACACAAATAGTTTAGAATAAACCACCAATTTAAAAAAAAATAACATCATTCTAATCTGAACACACAGCAACATCTCGCATATTCAAAAACATTCCGAATATCCAATTACACTTCGTATATTCAAAAACATTCCGACTACACAACAACATAAAAAAGTAGGATATCACTCTAATCATTTTTTGATTTTTTTAATGTGACAAATGTCATAGAAATTTTCAATGTCAAAATACAGATCGAGCATTGTCATATTGAATTATTAATCATGTCATTTAACTTTTTTATTGTTTTTACTTTTTGTA